CGTAACTTGGCCTTGATCTGTTTTTCCAATGTTTCTAATTGATCGTACGTCTTGGGGCTCAGGATTCTATCAATGTCACCCATAACGCTATTGACTACACGATCATCCCGCATGGTGGCTTCAGTCTTGGATTGTAAATCGATGCACAGCGTCCGCAGAGCCTCCCAATAACGGCAATTCTCTTTCTCGGTCTCTAGGACATGGTACGATGTAATGTCAGATTCGAGTTCTTTCAGCTCTGCCAAAGGCAGACCGTTAATAATCTCCAGCGGAGAGTTGACCATGATGTAGACATCTCCGTCATCGTCGTCGAAGAGATCGCGCTCAGGATCGATGTAGCGCAAGTTGAAGGCCAGGCGGTCGATAGGTTTGGCTCGTCCTTCTCGCACCCGGATATTTGCCTTCCTCTTTGACTGCTTCAAGACGAATTTGTCTTCATCTGCAACAAACTTTCGAGATTGCTCTTCTTCAGTGAGGTAAGTAGCTGCGCCATGAAGAGCTTTCGACGCCTTCGGTCGTGATGGTTTTGATATTCTGTTCTTCGAGTCGACTCTGGTCGCCGAGACCGGGGTCCGTCTACGAGGAGACCTCGGCCTGTCGATCATCGCTTGTCGGTCTGGATTCATAGTGACGGAGATCGGGAAGCAGAACAACTTCTTGGCTTTCGGAGACAGGTTTTGAGCGACTGATCGATAGATAGTTGGCTGAGGAATGGAGATGATTGGAACTTGGAAGAAGGTGTTGATTTAGCGTTGCTTGAGCGGGTTCCCCACTTGTCGTCGGAACGAACTTAAAATGGGTCCAACCAGCGTGCTGCGTTCTAACTCTATGTACGGAGTACCTGTGTCAAGTTTCAACTTTACCAAGACAGGCGCCAGCATTTCCCACAGGATGGAAGTTCAACTTGAGTGCAACGTGGCTGTCACTTTCTAGGACCTTTCCATAAAATTTAACTTCTTCTTCTCTTAATCCGGGTGCCTGCTCTATGAGTGATTATGTCACGAGCTGGATGGTGTAGGTATGCGCTTATGTGTGACTCTGCTACAACTACTGTCTTCGTTTGGTCCTCTCGACCATAAGGAGATATGATCTAAGAGGCTTTCATTACTAATACCATCCCGGACGGTTTTGTGAGCTTCCCATCTCCAGCCCCCTGATGTTTTGGCTCCAATCTTGCCAGTCAAAGTCATCACCCAGCATATCGGTATCTCCACTAGGACCAACGTTGACTGGCGTAAACGCATCGGACCAAAGATATGTAGGCAGGCTGCCGTCCCCGGAGGCTTCTATATGCAAAGCATCTGGTCTGTGTTCATTCATGGCGTTCTGGTCGCCGGCCAGATCTTGCGACGTTAGTGGGGGAGCAGCAAGTGTCGGCGTCTCGGTGACGAGGTTTCCTTCATTTAATTGATTGAGATGCCACAGTTCAGCTATAGCCGGATTTGGTTGGGCCATTATTCCGTCCATATATTCCATGAGGGCAGAAGACATATTGATTTCTGTAGAAATGTTGCCATTTGGATTCTGCATAGTTTCGCTCCCAGGTTGACTCGTAGAAGATTGATCCCAGAACACTGTTGATGGGTGAGCAAGGTAGGGTTTTGAGGGGGCCTCCTGAGGACGGATCAGAGACCACCATTTCTCTCTCATCAGTTCCATCCTGTTTTCAGCGCCAGGAATAGGGCCGAAGCGTGCCTGTGCAGGGTTCAAGCGCTCCGCGAAGTCGAGACGTCGGGCCTCGTCTTGATTGCGTCGAAGTCTTCTGATCTCTGATTCGCGGTGCTCACGTGCCTTTGTGAAGAGCTTTCGCAAAGGTAAGAATACAGCAGCATGATCAACCATCTTGGCGAGCTCGAGAGGGTCAATATCGGAGCCAGTGACGGCATCCCAACCACGTTCGACTAAGGCGGTCCACGGCCGTCGACAAGTCTCGATTAGTGTGTAGGCAACCGCGTGCCAGATTGCGTATGTCTTGAATAGCCAGCTGTATTGTTTACACCGAAGATCGACATTTAGTCTATGGGTGTACTCGATGACTTCGATGGCAGAAATATACACGCGCTGTCGGATGTCATCTGAAAGCTCATATTCGGAACCAGGAAAGAGCATCGGTTGATAAATAACAAGACACATCTTGCCCACCAAGATTCGCGCGATCATGGCTGCAGCCCAGTAGAGGGTATCTGTCTCGTCGAGAACGTGTTGGAAGAACTTTTGTTCTACACGTCGGTATACTTCAGTAATCATACGCTCTCGATCCGCTATGCTGGACATCTCGCTGGAGGGGTATAGAGAAGTCATCGCAGAGCCAGCTGTTAGGATTTTTCTGGCGAGAGCACAAATTTCGCATCGTACGATAGTCACTGCGCAGTCTGATTTACCTTCGCGAGGTATTGGAGCTTCTACACTTTCCGGTCCAATATCAGAATCGTTGATGTTGGCCGGCATCAATGTATCGTAGGAAGTCTCACTGATAGTCATGTCGGTTCCCAACTCGTCGGCGGAGCGTAAATCTAGAATTAGAATGGCCCACCACAGTCGTCGTCGCATTTCTGCTTCAAACGGCGATAGCTTCAGGTGACTGCCATCGCGGTGCAGTCCCATGCCTTGGGCAATCCGAACAGCCAGGCCGGTCAAGGCCCAACAGAATCGACTGTCTTCGTGACGCTTTACCACGACGAGAAATAAGGTAAATGCTCGTAATACCACGAGATCTGAAGTGTCGAGAAGCTTTGCCTGCGCTAAAGCCTGCTCCACTGCGAAACGAAACTGCGCCAGCAAGTCATTTTTGTTTGCACCAAAGTATGTTTGAACCTAGATGACCACTATCGTCAGAGCTGTATTGTAATATTCGATGCATAAGTTGCCGCATCATATGTGGGAGGGCGACCAAAGAAAATATCCAGGCGCTTACCTCGTCGGGTTCTAGAGAGATTATTGCAGCCAAATATATGACAAACACCAGGGCCTTATTTCCAGAGGTGAGCTTGTCGAAGTTGTCCCTGGCATCACACATGACCAAGTCGACGGATGGAACATGCATAATTTTTACGAGAGGCTCGACATTCTCGATGTAGATCGACCATAAAAGGGTGGACTGGGCAGGGAGAGGATGCAACTTTTGAAGATCAACATCGGCTGAGCGGTATCCCAAGATGAAAGCATGGTGATCACTAATGTTTCCCGAGACTGTTCTTGGCGAGTCCTCGGGTGTCTCTTCGCAGTCTGAATCAACATCGTCCTCGTCAGTCAGACGTTGAGTTTCCTCTCGAATCGCATCAAGCTGATGGGCCCAACTGTCAGTCTAATCTCGAAGAGTGAGGGAAATTCCTTTTGGCTGTCAACACTTTACATACTGCGTCATTAAGCTCGGACCAAAATCCACTGCTAATATAGCGAGAGGTTCGCCGGCCCTCATCGGCAACCATCCGCCCGAAATTCGGTTTTGCCTTCACGCCGTCGCTACTACCACCCACAGACGAAGCTGCCCTGGAACTAGCGTCGCATGTGGCAGAGTCCTCGAAATTGCCAGTAGATGATTGTCGCAGGGGTAGACTATCAGCGCCGGGATAGATAGGCTCTGGCGAGGCAGCGGATGAGAGCAGTTTTACTTCGGTGGCGCCACCAGGGGCACCAGAAGCGCCTGCAGCCCCAGGCTCTTCGATCTGACCGCTGAGCTCTTCCACAATGCCCTCAAGCTTCTTGAGTCGTTTGATGAGTTCTGCCTCTCGGTGGCTCGACGATTTCGACGGCGCACTGGGATCTTTGGGCCGAGGCTGGCGAGGTGCTCGGCCGGGGGCGGGGAAAGCGCAAGGGATCCGCGCGCGACGACAGTTAGAGCATGGCATTTGCTTGTCGCAGCGAACCTTGCGGCGGCGACAGGTCACACAAGATCGCGGGTTCAAGACCGGAGGTCCAGCCCGGCCGGTGGCCATAATCGGGCTTGTGTAGGCGTCGGGGCCAGAGGTGGGATATACCGTGACATTGCTCACACTGGTGACTTGGCCTGGCGTGACATGTGACGGAGTCGTAGCTGTGCTATTGGAGTGCTGAGTCTGAGCCTGAGTTCGAGTCTGAGTCTTTGTATGCGCAGGCGATGACGGTGACGGCGACGGCGACGGCATGTTGGTGTTTTCGACGGAGTCTCGACACCGCCGTGTGCTCAGCGTTGTTCAAGGCGAAGTGCTCCGATGCCGTCAGGATGGCCTGTGTCTCGCCTCGAGCGGCTGATAGGCGATGCAAGCGACGCAAGCGATACACCTACCTATTTAGACGCCGCGTGGTCGAAGCCGTTCTTTTGTTACTATACTCGAAAAGCTAGCGCCACATCGGCTCGGCTTTTGTGATCGGCTCGTCGACCAACCCGATGGATGGCACTAATTAATAAAGGCCACCTGATGGCAGCCCGATGGCGCCCCAAAGGCGTTCGAGACTGACGTCGGTTGCTAAGATCTCGACTCGTCTAGATTTTCAGCAACCCCAGTCCACCAATGGACGGCGTTCTACCTAGGTACATACATACTCATCTCCTCTGCCGTCTACTCCGTACGGACTGGGACTGGCCGTCCGTTCCTTCCAGAAGCGTCGCCTAGTCCATAGACTAGCTGACCCGATGAGCGAGGGTTACCAAACGGCGAAGACGTTTTATTAGTAGGTTATATGTACGAGCAAAAATGCAAACTTTTCAAGCGTGGGGGAATGAGATTACTCATTATATAACATAGATAAGTACAGAGTAGGGGCTCTACTAACCGTCATGAACGAAGGAAACAATGGGTACTTATTGTGCATATTCACCAGTCATGCCATTGTAAAGAAAAAATTGCAAATCCACGTTTCTAACATTCTCATGACATGAGTCATGACTCATGAGATGATGAGACCTTCAAAAGTAAAACGAAACGACGCTAGGATTCGATTCCAAAAGAAACTGCGAGAAAAATCATGACGGAGACTCACTAAAAAAAGATGTGCCAATCATATTCTCGCATTATAGGAATAGCCCGATGCGGGGGTCGAACCCGCAACCTTGAGATTTCATGTATGGTAAGAGTCTCACGCTCTACCGATTGAGCTAACCGGGCCAACGTACTGTTGGTGGTTGTTGACAGGGTGCTCCTTATTCCTAAACATAAAGCTTTCCTTCTACGAACGGGCTTAGTTCTTTTGACTGCTCAGTGCCACGCTTCGACGACATCGGTGTTCACTGTGTGGTCGCATCAGGTCTTCATTATTAGAGCGTCGAGGCACTGCAGTTATGCACACTAGATACCTAGATACCCGGCGCATCTCTTCCGATATGGCTGGAGTTTTCGATAACTATCATGTCTTTCGAAGCAAAATTTGCTACGGCACGATCAATTAACAACTGGTTCACAAGTCGCCTCATCTACAGCCTATGCTTTTGCGGTGTTCTCTTCTCATTAGGCAAAACTGAGTTATGTGCTTGTCACTGGTCAGAATAACATCCAAGCGTGACCGGATGCAAGTCCATTTGCTTTGCAAGGTGTCGCCGCCATATCTCAGATTATGCGGTCTGACTTTGAAAGAGAGTCGTTGCACCATGGCGTGCCATAAGTTCATCATCAATCATGTCATGGCTACGTGGTATTGGTCTGAGCCCACGGCGTAGGCTCAGGCGGGATGAAATGTGTATACCTCAGGTATTGGTCTCTGACAAGTTACAACTCTTCCCGGATAATGACACAAGACTAGCGCGACATCAAAGAGGTGGTACGGTCGATTGGTGACTGGCGAAAGAAACGTACAAGCGCTACAAATGAAAGCAATCGATGGCCTGCTTCAGTGCCACTGTGAACAGTTCACATTTGGGACGTGGAAACTGCCGGGCCGCGTTGTTAGAGGTCAACAGCTTCCAAACCTGATGGAGTTGACTTGTGATGAAGATGCCCCAGCCTCGGTCCAGGTTAGACTCCTAAGGTTGAATTAAATGGTCATGCTGACAGATGCCAGTGTTTGTCTCGATGTTCACCTTCAAGAACCAGACGGAGTGGTCAGACCAGCCATCGAGACACACGCCTACGTCACGAAGAATCCCCGGGGATTCCAGGTACATAGATCAACCTAATAAGGGCAAAAAGGAAAAAGGCTGCTGCTCCTGTCGAGTGAGGCACCACACAACACGAGACAAAAAACGCGTGCAATGTGAAGAAATCTGCGGGTATAGGCAGAGAGGCAGCGGTATCATGAGTCAAATCAGAATATGTAGTAAATTCAAACGCAAGCCAGTCGAGATCTTTTATGCCTGTAAAAGCTGTTCGTTCACGCGTTTTCAATTGATCGTCATCTCCATTTTACAGATGATGCCGGATAGGTTAGGTTGCACCATTTCTTCCAAGTTCCCAGGGGCGGCCAAGGCGCGATAAGCCCCGCTGTTGGGGTAGGTGCTTCTCTACCCAGTGGAGCCCTATCATCACGTGAAGTCTCACTCGCTTGCCCTAGGGTACCGCACTCCGCAGAGACAACTACATTTTTTCCGCACTTGCAGATTAGCATACGACGGCCATCGAGACCCAGGTAATTATACCACGACGTAACGACACAACCAAACAGGCACAATGGCCAAGATCTCGTAAGTGGCCTTCCATGTGCTAAATCTTTTGGAGTATTGCGAAAAATCTTGGAGCGACGTGCAAGAGGGGGGATTTCGTACGGTCAGGCCGCCAACTACAACGCAACAACTCCCCGGCGACGGACCCGATGACGGACCCGACTCGAGGCGATCACGAAGAATGTCGATGTGCGGATATCTGGCCTTCAATGCGCTTGTGATCTTGCAGCTCTCGAAGAAGCTCGTTATTTGACCATCGATCCGAGACGTTTACTAGATAAGGTGGAAATGGGCGACGTTCGCTATCATGTTTCTGCATCTGGAAGATACAGGCATGCCAACATTATATGCCGAATCATTTGGCTGACCGCACTTTTGTCATACAGGCGTGGTGCCCCTGGTGGCAAGCTTAAGATGACCCTGGGTCTCCCTGTGTACGTTTCGTCCCGACCCTGCCGCACGGCCCCGATTCCGAACGAACGACAAGTCTTCCCCGGCTCTCGAGCTAACGTTTTTCGAATAGCGGTGCCGTCATGAACTGCGCCGACAATTCAGGTGCCCGAAACCTGTACATCATCTCCGTTAAGGGTATCGGTGCTCGTCTCAACCGTCTGCCCGCCGGCGGTGTCGGCGACATGGTCATGGCCACCGTCAAGAAGGGCAAGCCCGAGCTAAGGAAGAAGGTCCACCCTGCCGTCATTGTCAGGCAATCCAAGCCATGGAAGCGATTCGATGGTGTCTTCCTCTACTTCGAGGACAACGCCGGTGTTGTACGTGGTGATATCTATCCCAAAACTGTAGGAGGGAGGGAGGCGCATGTCGGAATGGGAGCGGGAGTGGAGCGGTTCGGTGCCATCTAGGCTGATCGAGATTTGGCCTCGCATCGATCTGTTTCGCGCTGCTCTAATAACTCCTGACAACCATTTTTATACGTGTGCTCTCCCTCCAATCTGGCAAGAATAGCACAAACTAACTTGCGTCGGACAGATCGTCAACCCCAAGGGTGAGATGAAGGGCTCCGCCATTACCGGCCCGGTTGGCAAGGAAGCCGCCGAGCTGTGGCCTGTAAGTCATTTCTACTTGCACATCCAAACGCACTGCCACGAGTCCGCAAATGCTGACATCAAGACACACAGCGTATCGCCTCCAACTCCGGTGTCGTTATGTAGAGGGTTGTGGAATTTCATCAATTTTTTTTCCGTTGGGCGTTTAAAGGGAATCTTAAAAGAGACTTCAGAAATTGCTTCTTCGAGATGTTGATTGCCGTGACTGTGACTGGTTCGACTGGAAGTGCCCTTGGGGATGGAATGCCCTGCCCAAACGAGTGATCATTCGAATGATCTTAAAATATCCAATTCGAAGACTCAGCCTGGAGAGCAAACTTGAAAGAAGTATGTTGGAGGAAGTCCATGAGGGATTCGTAAGAATATGCGGGACTCGGGAAAGAATACCTACTGGAGTGGACAAGTCCATATTGGCCCTCATTATAGACAAGAACCGACTTAGAAGGTATTCTGAATAGAAAATAAACAAGAAGAGATCTTTATCGAACAGTACGTGCGAAGACTCTTTTGCCAATTATGTATGTTTGTTTCTTTGGTGGAAAGCCTCCTACGTCAAGCAGAGTTGTCTCAGACTCTCAGCACGCTGTCCCCGCTTCTCAAATTGTCTTTGAATTCACACGATGTGAACAGGTACATACCTAAAGCAGCGGTACGTCCCGCTACGAGACTAGGTTTGATATGATGTATGTACATATGTACACTGTAAGACTGCAACTTATACATACATTATTCATACATACACCATTGTGTCACGGTGGCGGCAAAAAAGGCGTCACTCTCGTTGGTACTTATGCAGGCGCAACAAATACAGATAGACACTATATTCGTACGTACACTGATACAACACACGTTATGATGTGCAAATGCGATACATAGGTAAGTGCACATGTCTAACACTACAGACGCATACTACGCATAAAACCACCTAATCACACCGGACATTAACACTGTAAAGGTAGCAGAACGCAACCATAACTGGCGAGTATATTGCTCAGTCTATTAATCATAAAACGCTTTTCAAAGAGTATGAAAATAAAACCCATAAACCAAATTAAGGCCGGGAACATGACGTAGGTCCCAAAAACAGGGACACCAACCAGCATGATATACATCGCTAAGTTCACACGAAAACCACTAACAAAATGACCTAACAAAACACCAATTCACCATATGTACTCTGAGAGTCCCGCCATTTTCATGTCCCTTGCCAAAATTTAAAAAGAAGAAGAAGAACATAAAAACAAAAAGCAAGAAAGGGCGGGGGAAAAGGCCTTGGACAGACCGTATGAGTCCTAAATCGCCGTCCTCAACAACGAATCGGCGTGCGGCTGGGACCGAGTCGAAGACTCCAAGTGCCCAGAAAGAAAGAAAGAAAGAAAGAAGGGAAGCAAAAAAAAACTAAAAAAACTGAAGCAAGCTAATACATGGGTGAGACCGAACAAAAAACTGAAGCAAGCTAATACATGGGTGAGACCGAACAAGCTTCGGTAAAAGAAGTGCTCAGCAATGAGAAAGCAGCATGGACGCATGATAGATGGCTCACATCAGCCAGCAGAGACAGCAGACATGATAGAAACAACAGCAAATGTAGGCAGTGCAACACGAATGAAGGCCCTTTCCTCTCGGTAGTCGTCTTTCATCTAATTCGCAGAAAACGGATAGCCCATCCCAGGAATGGCCGGGACATACCCCCCCGCAGGATGTTTCTCCGCCGCCTGCGCCTCCTTCTTGGAGTGTTTAGGCTTATTAGGCTTCGGTGCTGGTGTACCGCCGCCGCCGCCGTCTTTGGCGTCCGCAGCTACTTGGGCTGCTTTCTTGGCGGCGAGGGTTGCTTTTCGCTTTTCGACAGCTCCAGCCATGTTGCCGTTTGCCCAACGACCTAAATGGAAACATGTGTGTTAGCATTGCATTCTTCATCCCATTACGAACAATTCTGCCAGCAGAGATCCTTATTTGAAATAGCTAGTGCTCATAAGACTTACTCTTCATGGATGCCGACATCTTTTCCGACTTGGTCATGCTCTTGTAGTCCTTTGGCTTGTCGTCGCCGTCAGCTCCGGCCGCGGAGAAGGGCGTCTCGTGGCGGATATCTTGCGCCGGGCGCACGACTTTGATCTTTTGGAACTTGCGAGCCAGCGGTGCAGTATCAAGCATATGCTGGTCGACTGCAAAGGATGACTCGGCGCCTCCTGCTCCTTCTTGCGAGGAGTTGGGGACGGCTCGCTTGCCCCGCTTGCGGGCCGGTGCTTGCGCTACCTCTTCGGCCTCATCGGGTGAGTCCCGGAATCGTTTCTGGCGGTTCGGACGGAAGGAATAGGAGGATTCTGCGGTACCAGCCGTTGTATCAGACGACGAGCTGGAGGGTCTTGATTCGCCGTTGTCGGTGATGGCGGAGGATGGCTCATTCGTGTTTTTGGATCGAGGAATTTTCAGCGTGAGCATATGGCGC